CCCTCTGCCCTTCGAGTGCAGCTCTGCAGTTTGTCCGTATGGCTTAGCTCTGGAGATGCGTGGAGGGTTCCTGGTTCTAATTGGGGCTAATAGCTTTGGCCATCTGCCTGGTCTGAGTCTGCTCGCTTGTGTTCGGCTCTGGTCTGGCCTCACTGACCACTCAGTTGAAGGACACTCCTCCACTTGTCCACCTGGCCAAGAATCAGCATGAAACAAGCATACAGCCGGAGCCACCGCTCAGTTTTGCCTTAGCTTTTTTTGAGTTTTTGGTGAAAACATGCAGTTCAGTCTTTTTTTTTTTGTACATTAGTTGTAGCAACTGAGAATGCAATCTTGGCTGCTGAGCTGGGTGTCTTCTCTGCGTGAGAGTGAATGTAAAGGTGAAGCCCACTTTGTGTTTGCAGTGGCAGGGTGGAGGGGAGGCAGATGGCACACACAGGCTCTCTGCACTGAGGAGAATCACGGATAATTGGAGAGTGATGCTTAGCCGCAGCCCTGCTGATCGATGCCAATCCACCTGCTCTAAGTCCAGGGGTTATGCTTTGCTTTTCTTTCCATAGACTGCAATTAATCCAGTGTTTAGCCCGGTATGTGAAGAGTGCAGGAGAATACCAATGACCCGTTTAAGGCCTGCTTGACCTTAATCTTTCCCTCCGAGCCCTTAAAAATGCGCTGATGTTGTGTTAGACGTAATGTTTTCGCACCCGAATGTGCACACAGCCACAAACAGCATAGTGAGGGTATTCAAAGCAAATACACTTGGAAATCAAACACAATCAAAACACGTTGTTGTTTCTTTCACTCGCTTATTACCACACATGAACAAAAGCCCACAGCAGCGTCTCCTGAGACGAAATGAAAGCAGCCTCAGGGTGGTGTTAACTGGCTGAGTAAATGATAGATTTATATCCTAAATCCATTAGCAAAGCCACAGGGACCACATAGACACCTTAGGCTGTTGGCAGCGGGGCCAACGGAGAAGCTCAGGGAACAGGACGAGGCGCGAGCTTGTACGTTTATGTGCTCATGATTTGTGTGTTGAAAGTCACATGAAAAGAAAGGGAAAACAATTTCTAAGCAGAATTAGATTTTAAGTTCTGTGTTTTGTTTTGTTTTTTTAACCCTCTGAGGCTAAAGCAGTTTCTGTCACGTTTTATCCCGATGTGGGTTCATTTTTCACTGCTAAATAAAGTCTTACTTTTTCATGAAAAAGCACAACAAGGCTTGAAGTAAAGAGCACTCAGGAATGTCCTCTGTGCAGTCTAACACAGTTGTAGTGTTATAAATTATTACATTATAAAAAAGGGGGGGAAAAAAGTTGAATTTCTTTGGTTATTCATTTTTGCAATAATTGAAGAAAACCTAGAATCAACATGTACAGCGTTTTTCCTAGTGACCATGGATGTTCCAGTCCTGGGGGGGAAACGTTGGCTCTACCTGCTGTAGATATTATATTAGTATACTCACATTTTTCTTTTGTTTCCATCCTGGTCTCCTCTCTACTCGGTGTAAACACTGCCTGCAGCTCAGCTGAAAAGTCCCAGAATGTTTCTCATGTGACTGTCGTAGCTGATAATGGCTTCTTGGCTGCTGAGGATTGCTAATTCCAGAATCTGGCTACTGCAAACAATTTAATTTTTGGCAAAATTTTAAATATGACATTAGAGTAAAGGGATTTTGAAGAAATATTTAAGCTTGGATTTGGTTAGATTTGGATTTCTCCTGAAGACAACAGAGGGTATACTTGATTACTTCAAACACCGTTGGAGAGCCAAAAATCCAATAATGCTTCCTGTTCTTGCAGTTTCTTGCTCTGATAAATTATGTAATTTTAGCGATTAATTAAAGAATGAACAAGCCTTTTAAACTCGCTGGTGGGCTTTGAGGTTCAGAGGGTTAGAAGCTGGAATAAAGCACTGAAGAGGACACATCCTAGATACCCACAGTTAGTAATTTGTATAAATATACAACTCCTGAATTATTTAAAGAAATAAGAGCAGAGCGAAGAGGTTAGTATTTCTAAGAGAAATTCATCCCCTTCTTGAATGGCTTGTGTTTCCTGCTGAAGTGGCTAATATTTTAATTAAGCCTGAGGAGGACTCTCTCTCTCCTCCCTGAGAGCTCCCTGATAAACTCCCTCTTCTCTGTTGATGGTAATTTAGCAGCTCCCCAGAGACACACCCAGACACAGTAAGGCTTGCGAGCCAGCTCTGTTTCATTGTGTATGCATGTCCTCCCCCTTTAACGTGTGCGTGCTAATTGCTGGATGTGCTAGTCTATCCCGCCGCGCAGCACGCCGTCGCAGGCCTCGGTGACGGCGCCTCTCCACAGGCCGTCCTGCGGGGGCTCTTCACAGGCTTTAGTCAGGCCTAAGTGGGGCTCTTTGTGGACTGTTTGTCAGGCCTAAGCGGGCTGCCACGGGGGGTCTTTGTTGCGTGGATGTAGTGCTAAATGGAGGCAGATGGCTGGGAGTTAGCCACGTGAGGCTCAGAGATGCAAAGGGCCAGAGGGGAGCAGGAGAGGGGCCCAGCTCGGCTCTGTCACCCTCAAAGAGGGTCACACTGGGTCAGAGCCCCTGTCTGCCTCTTGTTAGCGCTCTCAATGGGGACCATGTGCGCCCAGATTTGCTCCCGATCTGCAGGGATGGTATCCAAGGAAACGGGGGATGGAGAATTCTCCCGAAGGCCCAGAGGGAGCTGGTGGGACAGGGCATCCCCCATACTGGTCCCAAGGCTCCCACACACTCATAGACACTCACAGTCCATAAAAACAGGCTAAATTCTGTTTGACTGGCATGAAGGGCGTGTCTCATCCCTAATGGCTCTTTAGTCAGCTGGGATAATAGACTGTCTGTTGATCTGCGCTCTATATTTCCTGTCACATCATTTGCCTTCTTTGTCTCATTCCCTAATTTAGGGTAATTACAAGATGTGAGGTGTGAGAGAATTTTCTAACGGGAGGATTTATGGGTAAGCAATGTGAGTAAGCGTGGAGGCCTGTAGCTGAATAGCTGGTACACATTAAGGTGCCTGATGTTTGTTATCACAAGCTGGTCACTGATCATAGTTAAATACTTGCTGGCTTCATATCTCAAGAGTTTATGTGAATTAAGGTGACATTTTAGTGAAACTGCTGAAAGTTAAGTCGTTTCAGTTAAGTCTTTAAGAGGTCAGACCTTGCAGCCTTAAGGGCAAAACATTAGACCTCTGTTACATATCGTTTCAGCATCACATTGGGATGTGCGCATAACTGATTTACTACAGACGTCTGACAGAGAGAACAAGCTTTACTCTTTTTTTATAACTTTATTTAAAAGAAAAATAGTTGACCTGCAGGCTTTCATGTGCACGGCAAAGTCCGTCCATCCGTCCATCCATCCATTATCTATATACCTCTTAATCCTCACTAGGGTCGTGGAGGGGCTGGACTCTATCCTAGCTGACTTAGGGTGAAGGCAGGGGACACCCTGGACAGGTCACCAGTCTATCGCAGGGCTACACTTAGAGACAGACAACCAAGCACACTCACATTCACACCTACGGACAATTTAGAATCACCAATTAACCTCAACATGTTTTTGGACTGTGTGGGAGAAAGCCGGAGAACCTGGAGAGAACCCACACTGCACGGGGAGAACATGCAAGCTCCACACAGAAAGATCCCGGATGCCCCCAGTGGGATGTGAACCGGTGACCTTCTTGCTGCGAGGCAACAGTGCTAGCACGGCAACATGAGCAAGCGAGAGGACAGAAACACAAGGAAGATTTGGTCACAACAAAAAAATCATTTGTATGAAAATATTTTGGCTGCAGAAGGGATGCTGGTGACCAAAAACAGTTACTGTCTGGTGTACCTTGCGATTGTTGCCACCACACAAACGTGACTCATTTGTTTGACCATTTCAATCAGCGCTGCAAAGCTCTGCAAAGTCATATCTGAATGACGTCCAAAGCAAAACACTGTTCTGGATGCATCTGCCAGTGTTACACCATATGAGAACCATTCCAATCAGCTTTTTTCATCTTTTTTTAAAAATGATTTTCTGTTTTCAATTGCAGATGCTCCTCCACAAAATCAGCCCAATCATTGTAGAATGATTCAGTCTTTATAAATGGTTATTCAAGCCACCTGGTGAAAATTCCTTCATCATGCATTATATATAGAGGACAAAGTAAATATCATGCAGCCGTTGATATGAATATGATATGTATTTTATCCTTGTCACCTGATCTCATAATGAGCAATCCACAATATGTTTAGAAAATCTGTTTGTTTCAGCCAAGGTGAGCTTTTTCCCCCTGGCTTTAAAGACACAGACCTGAAACTAATCTGACAGTTGGATGGAAACACGATTTGTAGCCAGGCATATAATTTTGGGTGTATAGAGCGCTGAGTACTTCAAGAACTGAACTGCAGCATCTTTCTTACAACACATTGTTTTTTGTTTTTTGTTTTTTTTGGTAGACAGGAACAAGGAACTCTTTACTCATCTGTTTCATGACAGTTGCTTAGAAGAGAAAATAACATCAAAACGTATTAAGCAGACTTTCAAAAATGCATTTTTTCGCCTTATTTTGGTGCTGTACTTTCATCAGGAAAATGTTTTGGAGAAGAGAAACCAAATAATGTAGGAAAGCTTGAATATGAACATGTGTGTAGATGTGCTTGTTGGAAACACTATTTGGCCGTTGGGGTTTTAAGCATTCACATAATTATATGTACCCATTTTTATGTTTTAAAAAAAGTACATTTGTGATTGACTGTAGAGAATGTTTTGTAACTTCATGTATGTTTTGAAAATTGCGATTCAGTACAATGATGTTATGGGATGCATGTCTTCCTACAGTGCATGCACCAAAATAGCACCATTTTTACGTGCCAGAAACCATGAAAACGATGATTGTCTCAACCAAAACTATAAGACTCCAATTTATACATCACAGCTCTGTCTGTCTTGGCTGTTTTGTGGAACTGACTCAAGTGCTCTTGTTGACCTGCAGGTTTGCTGGGCGGACAGTCAGCAGCGGAGCTCTGGTCCTGGTGTCGCTGGAGCGGAAGGAGTCCTCCACTGCCCTGCTCACCATCAACACAGAGAAGAGCGTCATGGCCTCCATGTTGCTCCGAGACCTCAAACAAGCCCTCGCCCAGGCATAAAACCCTGCCCTCCCTCCTGTAGTAAAGATACAGGTGAACTACACTTAGGTAAACATGTCATGTATTTTATTTCCATGGTTTGGGACAGTTCTTTTACACGTGATATCCAAAATCCATAAGCTCAAGAAACATCGCTTGATAACTGGAAGCAATGGAGGAGCCCTCACTCAGCGTTTCTTGTTTTTATGGTCTGTGGCTTTGGAATAGAATTGTCCTGAACCATGGGAATAACTTTGTGAAAGTCTTCACTGACGTGGTGATCCCCTCTCAAACAGTCAGAAGGCATCACAGAAGTTCTAGTACATATTTAAAGGTCTCATTGTGTTTAGAAATGTCCCACCTCCTTCCCCTGAACCAAACACTACTCCTTCACACAGATATCAGACTAACTGGCCTTGGCAATGACGACTTGAATTTCATGCCGTTTCATTCTGATCAGGCATGATCATGTACAAATAGCTGTGCGTACATTTTGGGAGAACGAGTACATCGCTGCTCAGCACACGGTGCCAATACCTCTGTTCCTCTGCAGTGTTTCTTTTTGGCCGAGATTACTGGAAAAGAAGGATTTGTCCATATTATTTCAAACCCTCTACGCACCGTTTAGAAGCATTTGTGACACCAAACACAGATGTATTTTCACATTCCAACCTTTAAACTGCTCCAAACCACAGTGAAGTGCCTTTTACACAAGAATAATAGAAAACCAATCATCGAATCAAAAAAGGTGTTTTTATCTGTATCGCTATTTCTGAACAATAAAAATGTGACTTTATTACTACAGTAAACTTCTTCTTTTTTTTTTTCTCTGGTGTTGCTACAAACAACAGTTTGACTCGGCTGGAGCTGAAGTCTCTGCTCTGTGATTTATAGTCACTTAACGGAACGTGGCTGAAGCACAGATTCGTTAATGGTGAGCTCTGCTAATTGGCAGGCTGAGGCGCATACCATGTACTCATGACATCATGATTTTGATGAATCTGTCACTCCACCAGCTGACATATGTTCTCCCTCTTCATCCACGTTTTCACCACCAGCTCTGTTGAATCCTGTAAACCAGGAGGAGGTAAGCAGCAGCGGCTTGTGATCCAAGTGTGACAATGTGAAGATGGCCTTAAACTTTTTTTCTACACATTTACCACAGGTGACATGTATCTTCGGGTAAATCTCAAACACACATGATATTGTCACATTAACGATGAATCCATGTGAGGAAAAACATTCAACATGAAGTAAAGAAGCAAAAATGTGAGTGAATTCAAACCGTGTAAAGTCAGAGTTGCTCCAAACTCCACATGATTTATGTGTCACCAGCAAAAATAGGTCACACCTGGATCAGAAAATTGCATTTTTTAAGTAATTTTTGCCAGATGTATCTGTGCTGTCACGTGGTGCTGTTAGATTCAAGTTGGAAAGATGAACATCTGTTTTTTTGTGGTTTTTTTTTTTTTTTTTTTTAAATAAATAGCAAACTTTAAAAAAAAGAAAAAAAAAGTAAAAACCCACTGAGGACTTAACAACTGTTTTTAGACTCATCTAACCATCTGGCTTGAAAAATATTACAGTCTAGGTATT